TGTGGCCGACCATGGTGATGAAGTACTTGACAACTGTGAAAAGTAGATCTTAATGCTGTTTAGGAGGCTGCTAAGTATTACACACTTTTCTGCAAGTAGTTAAGTGAGACTGCACTTCGTGTCTAGCAATTGGCACTTCCCTGCGGTATATTTGGGTGGTCAGAGCTCAATGCCTAGAAATATTATTTGGTTAGTGTAGGATCTTTGTGCTAGGTCAGCTGCTTACTGTTATCAATGCTTCATTTAACATAGTTTGGAGTTTAAACTAGTCACCATCAGTTTATTGTTGTCTTTCCGTGGCTGTTGCTTTGAACTGTCTATCCTTGAGTTAGAGCACTAAGGTTGGCATGCTTTTGTCAAATTATCTCTTTTAGCCCTAAGTTGTATGTGTCAGACCGTGGTGACGAAGTACTTGAGAACTGTGAGAAAAATGTGGATCTTAATGATGAAATATTCCATGGGAAGGCTTCTGTTCACGTACGGGAACTTGATTGGAAAGATTCATGGCCTCCTCAAGAAGCGAAAACTTCACCATCTAAAGGAAGGTAATTGATTGGTCTATACTGTAAGGGAAAGCTAGTATTGCATCTCAAAAAAGCTCTTTCACCACCTTTTGCTGACTTTTTTTGGTGATTGGAATGATGATAAACATTTGAATGTAAGTACTAAAGCAGGTTAGCCATATTTGTCCAGGTACAGCTGGACTCGATCAGAAATTGAAGAACTCAAGAAAGCTTCTTTGCTTTTAGCTGCTGATGTCATTTACAGCAATGACCTGACTGATGCATTCTTCAGCATCTTAAAGAAATTAATGTTAGACAACCCAGAGAAGGTACCTTGAATGAAGCTGGAGTACTCTATTTTTTTTTTATTTTTTTTGGGTGACAGCGGTATCGGGTCAACCTGCACTTACCTCGATTTATCCATCGGGCTTCATGCTACAACGTACAAGCATCACGACAGATTTTTATATGTTCTCTTCTTCTTTTCACGCCCTAAGATTATAACCAAGATTAAGCAGATCTTTGACAGAAAATTGGAATTAAATCAATAGAGAAGTGTATTGTAAATGAAGGTTCAACTTGTTGCTTCAAAAGATGATGAAAACCTACGAAGAAGCTGGACATCAATTCATGAAGTTATCTTGATAGCATGGTATGTAGAATTGGCTAGCAGGTCATTATGTGAAATCAAACAGAAATGAGCCAGTTCATATTTGTCCTAGAATTTGAAACGCTGTAAGGTGTTGAATGTGCATAAAGAGAAGTGTAAAGTATCCTTAGTAGCGGTAATTGAGGCGAAATCTTGTTTCTTGCCATTTAGGTTCTGCATGTTAGGTCTTATGTTGCTTATTGTTACTTCCAGGTTGTCACTTACCTAAGAAATTCCCACACTTTTTGGTTTTCATATTGGGTCTCCAAAAGCTTTAAAGTATTATGTTGTTGGCACCTTTAAGAGTTAAAAATGATAAAAGCATAGTGATTGATTGGTTCTGGTAATTACCCTTTACTTCAGGTGCTATACTTGGCTTTGGAAAAACGTTACAACTTCACGCTTGATGATCTTGATGTTGTTGCAAATGGATATTCACACTTCCGCAGTCACCTGATCACTGGAGAAGGTAAGCAGGAAGCTGCAAATAGATAAAAACTTCTTTTTACTTCTTATTTGGCACTTCGTCACCACTATATATTTAAGATATGCTACTATGGAGCAGATGATGCAGGATGTAAGCAGCTTTATAGTGCATCCGAGCCCTTCTTTGTTGGCGAGCAGATTGATTTGAGATGCATTCCATGTTATGTGAGGGATTACAACAGAGGGAATGACATTGAAATTTGGAAAATTAAGTTAAATCATAGAGCACTCTTCTGAATTTCAGAAACACACTTATTGGTAACATTTGTCTTCAGCGACTTACCTTATGATTCGTTTTTAGGAGTAAAAATCAGTACTAAATAGGCCTTGTGATTGCATTGCTATGAACTTCAAATTCATCTTCATGCTCTGTAAGCATCAACTGTCACTTTTGCAAAACAGATTCGTAGACGTGCTAATGGTTTGTTCATGTGGAAAAAAGGCAGCAAACAAGCAATTTGCAGTGATAAATAACTCATAGAATAGTAGAGGTTACAGAAATATGGTTCTGACTTTTCGCGCAAAGTATTACAGATTTAGGCATCCGAAGACGCGTCACATGCAATATTAGAATCTTTGAATGGTGCTGTTTCCATTTGAGAACCCACTTTATACCTTTAGCTGTGCAAAAGCTAGGGAAAAGGTTTTCCAGTCATCTTTTTCCCTTTTTGTGGTGTTGTCATTAGTCTCTAGCTTAAGGGAAGTTAATTCCAAGTATTCAACTATACCAAATAAAAGGCCTAAATAAAACAACTGGATGCGAACACTGGAATATCTGCTTTTACCAAGTGCACCATGATTCATTAATCATTCCTACCCAAACTTGTACCGAAAGCTTCCCTCTCCAACTTAAAAATAAATTAATAAAGGAAAGAGTAAAGCCAAAAGAGAGCATTGGAGCAACGGTAAAACTGTCTCCGTGTGATTTATAGATTACGGGTTCGAGCTGTGAAATCATTCACTGATAATCACTGATGTTTGAGTCAAGATAGGCTGTCTACCCTTTGGAGTATGGTCTTGCCCCGGACCGTGCATCAGGTTGACCTTAGGGAAGTTGTTTACCCCTAAAACGGTACAGTTGAATTTATAGTTCTTCCTAGTTAATCCTCCTATTTATAGCTCTATTTAGGGAGATAAGATTACCAAATCAAGCTCCTCTTGAATGAGAATAAAATCGTCATTGATAGTTGCATAACAGTTGGTTATAAATACAGATATTTTCTGTAACAGTTGCTCTTTGAATGCTATCCGATGGCAATACTTGGAATCTTTGTTACCGGCTACTCTGTCTTCGGGATTCGCTCAGCACCAATTGCATGCTCAGACCTGGGGCCAGCTGTTTGGTAACTCACATCCCACCTGTCTTTAGTTCCGCGTGTCACTTCGTCGTTCGCCCGGCTGTCACTTATCAATTTTACCCGATACAGAGGCCAAGGAAGAAAACGTGTACCAATGCATGTTGTCGAATGATAAAGTGTTGCTCCAACGTTTGTTGAACAACTGGAGCTGAAAGTTCCATTATATTATTCAACAGCCATTTTAGCGAGTTCTAGGTTCTATGACCAATAATCTAAACAAAAATCTCGTTTATTTAAAAGAAAAATGTCAAAAACATGAGCTCTGAGAACCTTTTTAGTAGTCAGGAAAAGCCTCTTTTTCTTTAAGTTTAATATTTTTATAATAGGTCAAATGCATTGACAGATTCTTAAAGTTGTCCATACTTTTTACTTAGACATTTTATTTTAATTATATTCCATTTTAAATGCATAGGACAAGAGAGGTTGCTCTAATGGTAAACAATCTCCACTTACAACCAAGAGTTTGTGAGTTCGAGTCACCCCAAGAGCAAGGAAAGAGTTCTTGGAAGAAAGAATGCCGAAAGTCTATTGGAAACAGCCTCTACCTCATGGTAGCAGTAAGGTCAGTGAGATTATACTAGCAATAAGGTTTGCGTACACACTACCCTCCTCCCCTGTTATTGTATGTTCCATTGGAATACTTTAACCATGTGTCACATACCGCAATAACGAATAAGACGAGGACACGTGGATTTAACCTAATCAAATTAAAAAAAATTAAAACGAGTCATCTTCCACAACAGTTCCTCCTCGACGGAAAAATTAATTTCCGGCCATCGCTTTTCCAGCTCTTTCTTCTCCTCCAGAAACTTAGTTTTTTCTTCATTTTCTTCATTCTTCCTTTCTAGGTTAAAACTACGGAGAGTTTTGGAGCCAAAATGGCTGGAGAAAATATTTCTGGCGAAGAAAATCAGCTATTTGTGCAAATCAGTTATTGTAACAACAGAAGCAGAAGCAGAAAAAGAAAAGAGCATAATAGCCCCTTTTTACAGAGATAAAGGAGTGCTGCTGATATGGTTCAATATTTTTCTTTTATTGTTCTTCTTTTCTCAAAGCATTGTTGGCTTTAATAATGAAGAAATCATGGACATGACACAGAGGGGCGACCATCCTTTACTGAAAATCCTTGAGGCTCAAATCTGTGTAAAATGGGGCAAAGAGAAGACGATAACGTCTCGGCGTCGAATCTTCACGCGAAACCCCGCCCCTCACAACATAAGAGGAACCAAAAATACCTTCTTCTTAATGACCAATTAATCAAAAACAACCTTTGAACATTCAAAAAATTTCTTGTTAATTTGCTGCAATAGGAACAAATTTCTGGGTGTTAGTTTGTTTATCCAGTGCACCAAACAAGTTAAGCACATACTCGACATTGCATCGCCGGAATAAATTGGTGCCGACAAAATTCAACTGCGACCCATTTGGTCTCATCGCAAAGCTTTCAAATCTGAAGGGTTTTTGGAAGATCTAAAAATTTAAAAGAAATTTTCTCCGAAAATTGTTTTTGTCAAAAATATTCATTTTCCGGCAAGAAGTATAAAAGGTTTGTTTTTCAGATTATTTTGTGCTTGAAAAATGTGAAAGATACTTACTTCACTATGTCAGCGTATTGTGTCTAAATGAGATAGTAAAAGTTGTTAAAGTGTTTAAATAAAACATACTTAAACAAAGTTATGGTGTGATAAGTTATACTCAGATTAATTTTTTTGGTATTATTTTTATTCACTATTTGGTATATTGTATTAAAAATAATAATTATATAATTTTTTTAAAAAAATATATAAATTATCTCAGCACTAATTATCCCATCCATATAAGTTATCCCATACTAATTTTAATTTTGAGATAACTTATACCAAGTTTACTAACCAAACAAAAAATATTAAGATGATATTAAAATTTTATGCCAGCAATGTATCTAGTTATATAACTCATACCAAACGACCACTAAGTAAGTCTTTTTCGTATGTCGTGTTGTATTGCTTTTTTCTTTTGGGCTACAGAAGGGAGAGAGGGGATCACTGATTCACTGATACGTCAACGCGGACGTCGTTGTTGAAGATTAAGTAGACGGTGCCGTTAAACCAGAAATTTTCCTTTTTCCTTTTGTAGTTTCCTTTATTCCCCTTTTCTTTACAAACAAAAAGCAAAAGAGTATTCTCTCTCTCACTCTGTACAGAATTTCCAAGTCCTGCTCATCTCTTCTCAATTCTACACAATTCTTCAAAGCTGATCCGATCTCAATTCTCTCTATGAATTTCTAAGTAAAATCTCCTCTTCTGTAAATTTATGCACATATACAGAGTTTTAGACTGTTAGTTTTTCTTGTGAATTGGAAAGGAAAGAAACAATGGGGTGTACACAATCGAAGATCGAGAATGAAGAAACTGTGACCCGATGCAAGGAGCGAAAGCACTTCATGAAAGAAGCTGTATCGGCCCGTAACGCTTTCGCCGCCGCCCACTCCGCTTACACTATGTCTCTCAAAAACACTGGTGCTGCCCTTAGCGATTACGCTCACGGCGAAGTTCAATTCCCTTCTACGGCCGCCGTCGCCGCTTCCTCCTCTTCCCCCCTATCCGGTGTTACTCCTCCCCTCTCTTCCACCCCCTTAGACATGCCTCCTCCCCCTCCCCTCCCTCCGTTTTCCAATCCTTCTTTCCCACCTTCCCCTCTTCAGCGTTCTGCCACTATGCCCGAAATATCCATCCCCGTACCGGAGCCGAAGCGATCTGATATGATTATTGAGGAGGAAAACGAGGATGATATGGAAACTGAAAGCACTCATAGTTTAAGACATCGTAGTAGTAAAAGTAGCGGCGGCGGCGGCGGCGGTGGTGGAATTGGGGGATTGCAAACGCCTCCTTCTCCACCACGGACACCGCCGCAGAATAATCGAGCGCCTCCTCCTCCACCGCCGCCGGATAGCAAGGGGGTGGCGTCCATGTCATGGGATTTTTTCTTCCCTTCAATGGACAACGTACCTGGCCCTACACTAGCTGAGGTGGACGAGAGTAGGATTGAAAGAGAGGAACTCGAGCGGAAGATGTATGACGAAAGGGCTAAGAGAGCTGAAAACGCTAATGAAACTGAAAGAGTGAGGAAGAGCGAGATGCCAGAGGAGGCTGAGGTGGTAGAAACGGCAGCTGAGACTCCGTCAGAGCCACCTCCTCCACCTCAAGTTGCCGCTAAAGTTTTGAAAAGAGTGAAAAATGTTGTTCCAGGAGAGAGTAAAAAGAAAGGAGGTCAATTTAACCTTCTGCAGATATTCTCTGAGCTGGATGATTGTTTCCTTAAGGCATCCGAGAGTGCTCACGAAGTATCTAAGATGCTTGAGGCAAATCGATTGCATTATCACTCAAATTTTGCCGATAATAGAGGTATATAATGTGTTTTCTATAAGAAAGATTCAGTTTAAATTGTGGATTATTTTTCTGCTGGATTATCTTTATTGTTATTCAAATGTTACTTAAGTTGCATACCTTGATCAAGTTATGGTTAATGGATAGGCCGATTTTGTAATTGTGATTTTAAAAATAGATTTTTAGATTTTGCTTTTTAGTCGATGGTGCAATGGTTGTTAATAGACAGTTGACACTGATCGATCGTGCTCAATGACAGTGTTATATGATGGCTACTCGTAAAACTGCCATCTTTCTAAATATACTCCAGGATGTGTTACTCTTTAAATAAACTTTCATTCCTGGAGTTTGAATTGTCTGTTAAATGTTAATGCCAATGTTTAAATCTCTGTAATTTTCTCTTTAGGACACATTGATCATTCTGCAAGGGTCATGCGTGTCATAACATGGAATAGGTCCTTCAGAGGCTTGCCAAATGCTGATGATGGGTTGGATGACTTTGATTCAGAAGAACACGAAACTCATGCAACAGTGTTAGACAAGATGCTCGCATGGGAGAAAAAACTGTACGATGAAGTGAAGGTGTGTTTATCTAACTTTTTTTTTTGGTTTGAGTCTAATCATCACGAATGAATTCTGTGTAGTTCTCTTATCTTTCTGTTGCATTATATTGTCTTGTAGGTGTATTCTCTTTCTTCCACGTTTTCCCTTCGCCTGTTTGGTCTCCTCATAATCAAATCTTGTTGAGTGATCATTTCAAAATTGATATTCTATTTAGCCAAGTATATTTGCTTTTGCTGAATGTTCTTTTCTATTTAGTTGGAAGGGTAGCCCTTCCACTTCCATTGCGGCAAATCTTCTGATTTATTTGTTCTTCTTTTGCCATTACTGATTTTACTTTAGATATTCCATCTATCTACTTCTTTTATTCTTGTTTTATTCTTTGCCTCTTTTCCTTTATGCTTTTTCTTTTTCCTCTCCCTTTTTATATTCTTTTGGGGTTGGGTTGGGGGGAGGGGGTGCAATGTCTGGAACATAGGATCCTGGGTTTTTTCTCCCAGCTCCTGATGGCTTCATCTATGGGATTTTAGGAGCACTTTGAATGTTTCATGTTTTGTGAAGTTTGAGCGCAAACATAGGACATGACTGACGATATGATGATATCATATATGCAGTTAAACTAAGCTTGTTTAAATATACATACTGGTTAGCATCTAGTATAGAGTAAATTAATCAAGATAAGAAGAAACGTTTTGAAATTGCAAAAATTAATTTAGAAGTCTAGACACTTATAAAGCACCTCAAAATGATAATTTAATAAAGGGCCTCTGACTCTTCAATGAACATAGGTCAACGTTTAAAGGAATCTAAAACTTCTTATAATGCGTCGCATCAATATTGGGACATATGAGGTATATCAGGGTGTTGATAAGTGGCAAATGAAGTATCTGTGTAGCATGGAGTTCTTGCTAAACTAAGGTGTCCTACTAGAAAACCCGAAGAAGCTGCTCCACTCAAATGTATTGTTAGCTGTATATTGAGGTTAAAAAATACCAGGTCAGCATGATGTTTTGGCCTCTGATAATGATACCCGATGTAAAGCACTTAGATTAGAGTTACTTCCAAAATCTGCTGCCCTTGAGTGTCAACGACGATGTTGTAAAGCATAATTCTCGTTAAACTCTGACTTCTCAGTATTTATCTTTGTACTTGAGAGTTCTAGAACCTGAATCATTTTTGGTTTCTGACAAGTAGCCTAGTAGAAGCCCCTTTATTTTAGGATAATGTCTTCTGGTGCTTTGTGTTTCCTTATGTGAGCAACTTGGTCAACAAGGATGTATTGCTTTGTGTGCCATGATGCCATTTCTGTTTTGAAACTTTACTTTCGGCATACTAAAGGTGCTTTAAAGTCTTAAGTGATGTAGTATGCCGAGTTTCACGCCCTGTACCCTTGGTTATAAGCTAAGTTGCTCGGACACGGGTGCGGGAGTCCGACACGGGTGCAGATCTAGAGGTTGAATCCTTCGAGACGTAAATTCTAAGATTCGGGGGTACCGATCCTAGTACGGATACATGTGGGGATCTGGCGAAAAATAATTCAAAAAATAAAAATATAAAATATTTATGAGAAATTGTGGAGTAGTTACATCTAGCTTGTAAAGTGTGGATTTCTTTTTTATTCTCAAGTTGTAGATAAGTAAAAGATTGATTTCCTAGATAAGATATGCTATTTTTTTCAAATTTACCCTAGTTTTGATTCTGATTTCGGGAATCAAATTGTATCTCGTCTAGAATTTTTCTGTTCGTCGTGGTCAAAGTACCTAAAATTGTTTGACCAAATCCGGTACGGATCCCATACCCACACCCATACTAGTGTCGTGTCGACACGGGTGCGGCACCGCGGCACCTAAACTGCCGTGTCGGAGCAACTTAGGTTATAAGTAGTAATTGGTTTTCAAAAGTTAGCAGTCCAGGTTTACTTGTGGCATTTTAAAGGGAAAAAGGTCAGATTTGTCTCTCTACTTTAGTAAATTATCCACGTTTGTCCCTAGTTCTACTATCCGTCCAAATACGTCCCTACCGTTAAGAAAGTAGACAAATTCGTCCCTAACCCTAACAAAATTCCAACGTGGCACCGGTCCCTTCTCTTTGATTGCCAACTAGGCAAATTAAAAACCCAAATAAAAAAGACTCGTTCATGTTATCTGACCTGATTAGCCAAAACCCTTGTTTCTATGGAAAATCAATAACAAAAAAAGATTTGATTTTTTAACCCAAGTATTCTAAGAACCCCAAAAAGGCCTAGAGGCCACTCTTTCTCTTCAATATTAAAGAGACCTGCCCCAATTTCCCATCTAATTACGAAAGAGCTCCATTAGAATCAGTTATCACCTCCGTCATATATCCACCATAATCTCTATATATTTTTCATGACGTTAAAAATTCGATTGGCACAATACAAAGTCATTTTTTAAAATAACTTTTTTACTGTCTGAATGGACCAATCTTCTCTTTGACGTTTTCCCCGACAAATGTTTAGCCATAATTTTCCAATACTTAACCTCCGGCCACCATAGAAAATGCTCCCTCGTTTGCCGGAGATGGCTTTCAGTTGAAGGGAAAAACCATAAAAGGCTCTCCCTCACTGCAAAAGCTGAAGTAATCTCGGTTTTACCTGCCATCTTCTCTTGTTTCGATTCCATCACCAAACTCGCTCTCCGTTGTCACAGAAATTCGGTTAGAATAAATAACGAAGGCTTTATCCTCATCTCTCTTAAGTGCGTGAACCTCACTTTGGAGATTTTGCTTTTGGTGAAGGCTCCTGAATGCATGGATACTGAGTTGTGTATTTGGCTAGGCATTGTAAGTTGTTGAGGAAGCTTCACACTGATGGAAAATCATTTGCTTTAGAATTGTAATGGCAGTTGGAGGTGGTTTTAGGTGGGGTGGAAGAAGAAACAGGTTTTAAGATGGAAAATGGGTCTGCCCAGGTAATGGGCTATTTGAATGGGTATGAGTTGAGTTTTTAAATTTGCCTTGTTGGAAATCAAGGAGAAGGGCCCCGGGTGCCACGTTGGAATTCTGTTAGCGTTAGGGACGAATTTGTCTACTTTCTTAACGGTAGGGACATATTTGGACGGATAGTAGAACTAGGGACAAACGTGGATAATTTACTAAAGTAGAGGGACAAATCTGGCCTTTTTGCTCATTTTAAATTATATTATGAAGTTGTAATTTGTAAAAGGAATTATAAATTGTATTTTGGGTTTTGAACTATCCTGTCTGATATGCCCTTTCTCATGGATTTCTGATGATCCTCCACAGGCAGGAGAACAAATGAAACTTGAATATCAGAGAAAGGTTGCCTCATTGAATAAGCTCAAGAAACGTGGTACAAATACAGAGGCCTTGGAGAGAGTGAAAGCTACAGTAAGTCACCTCCACACAAGATACATTGTCGACATGCAGTCTATGGATTCTACTGTTTCAGAGATAAATCGGTTACGCGATGAGCAACTTTATCCAAAATTGGTTGCTCTGGTTGATGGGTAAGTCTTTTAGATGTGTGCATAGGCTAAGCCATATTGCAATCTGTTATTCTAGATGGACTCACACACTGCCTGTTTGACAGCTGTTTCTAGAGCAGATTTTTCTTCCATTAAACTCTTTTTTTTCTAATTAAAAACAATTTTAGCTTTCATCTGAGTTGATTTTATCTTTTGGAAAACCTAGTTTCTCTGAGACAAGGTCTGTATCACCTGAAATATGTGACTAAATGATTGTTTGGTGTCAGTTATGTATCTCGTCTGATATCCTTCAATTGTGGAAGAAATGTTTGTTTGAACGAATTCTTCCATTCCCTTCCTATGTCCCCAAACATTTATAGTTTGTGGCAAAAAGAATGAAACATTAAAAAGTTCCAAGTTGTTGCAGCTGTTCTTTTATGAAGAAGGTAACTTGATTAATACCAAGAACAACTAGGCAGCCAATCTGTTTGCATATTTATTCTTTTCTCCACCTTGGCCACTCAAATTTGCTGACTCGGAGATATTAATCCCTAGGATTTTCCTGAACTTTTGTTATCAATTGCAGGATGGCTATAATGTGGGAGACCATGAGAGGATATCATGTAAGTCAGTCTAAGATTGTGCAAGCGCTAAGGTCTTTGGATATATCCCAATCCCCTAAAGAAACAACCGAGCACCATCATGAACGAACTTTGCAGTTGTATGTTGTTGTCCAAGAGTGGCATTCACAGTTTGACAAATTGGTTACCCACCAAAAACAGTATATCAAAGCTCTAAACAATTGGATAAAGTTAAATCTCATTCCTATAGACACAAATCTGAAGGAAAAGGTTTCGTCGCCACAAAGACCACAAAACCCACCAATTCTGTCACTTATACATGCTTGGCATGATTATCTTGACAAGCTTCCTGATGAGTTGGCTAGAACTGCTATTTATAACTTTTCAGCTGTTATAAATACTATCTTTGAATACCAAAAGGAGGAGATGAAGCTGAAGGACAGGTGTGAGGATACTCGGAGAGAGCTTAACAAGAAAACTAGGCAATATGAGGATTGGTATCACAAGTATATGCAGCGTAGAACGCCCCCGGATGAAATGGATCCAGATCAAGCTCATGTTGATAGTCTTGTGGTTGATCGGCAGCTACAGTTGGAGGCACTGAGGAAGAAGCTGGAAGACGAGGAGGAAGCATACCAGAGGCAATGTCTTCAGGTGAGAGATAAATCTTTGACAAGCCTGAGAAGCCGCTTGCCTGAGCTTTTCGGGGCAATGTCAGAATTTTCCCTTGCCTGTGCGGATATGTACAGGGACTTGAGGTCTATCTCAAAGCATCGTAATAGAAATGGCAACTCATGATCGGTGAATATATACAGCTTGTAGTGTAAACAGTGTACTGTATGCATTTTCTTTGTAACAGCTATGAGAGGTGTGATTTGTTTTATTACTTGTACTGTTGCTCGTATATGGATCAAAGAAGTATTGAGTTTCTGGCAGAATTTCTCAAGAAGCCAGCAAGTTCAGACTTATGTGCTCTCCGTAGAGGTTGCTGTCCCAAGTAGAACGTCAAAGAGCAACAGCAACTTCGGCAACAGTTTCTCGTATATAAATGATGTTTGCCTAGAATACTCTTGTTATAAATTTTGTTAAGGATTTTTATGTTATAGAAATTAGAAGTCCAAATAAATGCTTGAGAATTTGGAACAATTTGATTTATAATTGCAAAGGTTCAAAATTGAGGAAACTTCTCTTCATGCTCCACAATTGGTGTAGATGCGCGCAGGTGTTATTGATTCGAGGGCAAATGTATGTTTAAGTGGGGAAATATAATAACTCGATCGATTGATCGTTTTGAGTTTTGGCATTACATTTTGTGATTTGAGACTTCGAGTAGTTTTCCTATGATATTATGACATGGTTGATTTTGGTTTTTGAATGGTTCATGGTTGATTTGATAGAGTTGCAACTTGCAAATGAATGCAAATGGAGTGGGATGTTGAGAAAGTTCTGAGTTATAAAAAGGAAAAAAAATGTAAAAGCTCAAAAATCGATTGTTAGTTTTATCAACACGTATAATCCAAACTATGTGGTGGCATGAATGTAATTATACATTCTTAATTACTCTCTTCCTTCCGGTTCACGCGATTTTTTTTTTTTTTGGGTCTATTTCAAAGAAAATAATCTATTTCTAAATTTAAAAATAATTTAACTTAAATTTTTAATTATATTCTTATTGAAAAGCTTTTATAATTATACTAATACGCCGAATTCTTTTTTGACTTATTTAGGAACACAAATTATAAAATATCTTATCTTTTTTGTTAAATTTCGTGTCAAAAGATTTTCTTTTTTTAAAAGGCAAATTAATTGTTGCAGCAAAACCTTGGCATCAATCATTAAACCACGCCAAAAGAACATGAGTAAAATAGAAGAGTCTTAATCCGACAGAAACACAGGATTTCTGACGGTGACGGACGCAGGCCGCCTCTCACCTTCCTCCTCCGTCTTCTTCAATTCTTCTCCTTATTTTATCTCCGGCCCCAATTCGGTTTCATTGCTAAAACCTTCACGCTATAATGACTTCCTCTAAATTCACCGATCCACCCCCTACCCCGTACGACCCCCTCCCCACTTATCCCCAACCCCCTCAACAACCCCAATACATCATCGTCCTACCTCATTACTACCGTAGCCCTCGCCAATTGCTACGCGTCGCTTGCCGTCGGTACATTTACTCCGCCGCCGTGCTCATCCTCCTCGCCGCCGCAGTCTTCTTTTTCTGGCCCTCTGATCCCGATGTCTCCATTGCCCGGCTCCGTCTCCGCCACCTCAAAATCCACACGTTCCCCAAAATCGCCCTCGACGTTACCCTAGACGTCACTGTTAGGATTCGTAATAAAGACTTCTATTCAGTCAATTTTCGTTCCGTAGCGGTTGCTATAGGGTACAGGGGTAAGCAGCTGGGATACGTCACCTCCGATTATGGTAAAATTAGGGCCAGGGCGTCTTCTTACATCAATGCCACTCTGGAGCTCAATGATATTAGCATTTTCTCTGATATAATTCCTTTGATTGAGGACTTGGCGAGAGGTTCTATTACTTTTGATACTGTAACGCAGATTGGTGGTGAGCTTGGTTTATTCCTCTTTGATATTCCCATAAAGGTATGCTACTCCAACTCTCTGTTGCTATTGCATTTACTTAGTTACTTACTAACATTTTTCTCTCAGTTTATTAGCTGTTGTATTAACATGCTTGCTAAATGATAGTATGATTGAAAACGAAAAATACAACTATTTCACCAGAAAGAATCTAGAAATAACTTTAGAGAGGAGAAATTGTCATATTTGCTCTTAAAAGGATTGAGAGTTTATTATGTGTAGATATGCCTGAACTGTACTAAATAGTTTTCGTTGAGGAACTATATTAATGCAAAGCTTTGCTTGTAATTGCTCTTTTGATTTCAGCTGTCTAGGATTTTTGAGATATTTCATGATAATAGTAAATCTTCCCTTCTCAATCTGCTCAATGCTTATTATGTCTTCTACAAGATCCCTTCTTCCTGTAGAATACTCAAAATTTGCATCTTTCTGCTAATATTATTTAGACTAATTTTTCAAAAGGCCATGTGGAGCTGACAATTTCTTCTAGCTTATATATTCTTTAACACGAAACTTTAGTTGTATGAAGAGTACTACTCCCTTTGTCGCAAAATGCTTCTCATTTGTTTTTTGGTTATTCCATAATGCTGTCTAGTTTTGTTAAACGAGAAGTTTCTGCATGTTTTAAATACCGAAAAAAGGTTTCAAGAGCCTCACTTTTATTGTTCTTGATATGATGTTATCTTTTTTTCTACTTTCTTACAACAGAAAAACATGATACCCCCTTCGCATTTCTCAACAGATACCAAAAAATTCGTATCTTTATCTCTTATCCTAATAATCATGCATATTAGAACTGGACAACCAAACCACATTTGAAAAAGTAATTGGTTGTTGACATTACAGGATTGGACTGCTGAATCATTTCCTGGTTTGATATATTTCATTTGTTTAGATTTCTCATTTGCAATGTTTACTAGTGTTGTTGTTTTGAGATACTCTAGTGAGCCCACATTTCACCGTTTTCCACTTGATTTTTACTAAGAAAATAGCTTGATACTAGCAGGAAAAAACTAGGTACAAGAGAATGGTTTTAAGAAATCGTTCTTCTATGGATCTGATTCAACAACTTTAATGGTGAATCTGTTTTAAATACGGCAAAGGGTCAAATATACCCCTCTACTTTCAAAAATGGTCCAAGAATACCCCTAAATGTGAGGTTTGGGGAGTATAAAGTGTACGCAGACCTTATCCCTACCTTGTGAAGGTAGAAAGGCTATGTCCAATAGATTTCTTAGAATTTCTGATCTAATTTTAGCACAGGTACCTAATGGAATTCAAAAGTGATAACCTTCTCCAAATTCGTTAACCCTTACGGTCATATAAGTTGAATAGAGATTAGCATCATCTTGGTTAATCAGAAGCCCCTAAACTTGCTGACTCTAAATGTTCTCTTAAATCTCTTTTTTGGATGGGAAGGATGAAGCTTTGTCCTGGAACCCAAGTTTCCAAAAAAGCGAACTCATGCTCCTTAGCTGTAATGTTATGTGGTGGGCAATTGGACAGCCGAAAGGAAATGTCATTATGTTCGTTTAGTTCTCAACCTGCAAATCCGAATAAGATTTATTGTGCAGCTTCCTCTATGTTCTTGCAGGGAAAAGTGTCGTGTGAAATTGTTGTGGACACACGCAACGAAACGATTTCTCATCAGAACTGTTACCCTGAGGTATGATATTTTGTTCTGAGGCTTAATTTTTTACTTAGTGATATTTGATTTTTGGTATGTCGACCAAAAATAGGAGAATTGCTGTAAATGGTTAGCTATTTCCTAGAAGGTTCTGCTCAAGTACACTTTGTCCAACTTATAAAATCAATCTCCTCTATCGCTTACAAGCTCACAGTGTTACATGAAGCCAAAATGTAAAATAATTGTTTCTCATTTACCATATACGTTATCGCCGGATATTCTCAGAAGTAAACTAGTGTTGTCTTTTCCTGACAGTGACTCGGTTCGTGATGGAATTGTGAATAATTATGGAAATGATGAAATGAGGGAAGTAACCGACTCTGCTCGACCCTCTCCTTGTAAATGTTCTTTGGTCATTCAATTCATGTGTTTCAAGGGTTTTGGATATCTGAAATATTTAGTAAGTTGGATACTGGATTCCCCATTAATGTAGTTATGAAGGGCTGTCGTGTTTTGTGCGGGGAAAACATTGATACGTCTGACGTGTTTTTTCTGTAATAGTAGTATTTACCATTATTCTAGGAAAATTATGGTGATATAACGACATAATATTAGCAACGTGCAGACACACACTCTCTCAGGTGAGTGTGTTTGTGTGTGTATGTCTGATCCTGTGCGTCTTTTTCAGAAAAGTTCGCCAGTTCAAAACAATGAGAAAACATTGTCCCTACCTTGAATCCCTTTTCCCAATTCCTTGAGCTTCCTCGTTCGTTGAGATATTCATGCAAAACATAAGGTTATAGACAACGCTAAATTAATAAACTTCAACCCAGGAAAAGATTTTTAACTGGGCAATACAATTACCTTCGCGAACAGACGCGTTGTGAATAAATTTATTGTATAATATAATAGCAATTCAATCACCAAGGAAAAAGAGGGATTATCAGCATGTTGTTTTAAAAGAAGGGCAAGTCATTGAACATCACAAACCACAAAAAGTAAAAACAGACTAAAATGATCTTAGAGATGGTATGAACAAGATCATCCACGTATTATTGATAAAGTAAAAAAAAAAAAAAAACACTAAAAGGCTAATGCAAACTTGTACAAGATCAGAATTGTCATAGAGCCTTAGCAACAGAAGTATTGTTAGGCTTAATTCCTAGTGGAGGAACCCATTTATAATCAGAATGATGGTGCCTACACCTGAACGAGCCTGGATGTTTTGTGGGGGAACAAACACACTGAAACTGAAACTTCTTCATTCCAGCTCCTATGCTTATTCCAGTTGATACTGACGTTACTTGTTCTCTCGCAACAGGACGATATCTTCCCCGACCTTCTCTTTTGCATTGGTTACCAACCCAATAAGGAACCCCCGAGTAACACATGATCTTCTATTTCAAGAAAAAAACCTAACTGACAATAGTTCACCACCACTATAACGTAAACTATATATATATAAAGACTAGAGAGTATCGATCGCATGGAAGGAAAGGAAAGGAGGAGAAGAAAAGTGGAGATGTTATTATTTTAGTAAAAAGAAGCTTTTGATTGATTCATATTTATCACGGATAAGGACTGGGGTTTGCTTTTTCTCTTTAGCTTTTGCAAGTGGGAAATACGGTATTGTTTTTTTTTTGTAGAAAATGCTGTAAGAATCAAAGTGACTTTTTCTGTTAACAAGACTTATCTGCATGAGTACACTTGGCTTGGTTTGGGTTGTTTGTGACTGAAAGATTTGGTGACGCGGCTGCCGGAGATTCCAACCACTTGTTTTATATTCGTTTGTTCTCTGTTTATACTAAGTTCCAAAATGAAATGCTGAGGCTAAAATTTGTTAACACGTGCTGTTCGTTAGCCCAAATTGTACCTGAAATCTGAGTTTGGAAGTTTCTGTCAATTATACGTGAGGGTTTGTAGAAAAAGGTTCCAGAAGCATTATCGATAAGGGAGGTACACATCCCTCTTCTCGGTGTGGAACTCCTTCTGTGGCTGATAATGGGGAGCGGCAGCTGGACAGATCGATTTGGATATGGAGGTCTTATCCGGTCGATGGACGTCTCACTTGTCAATTTGAATTGCATCAAAGCTCTCGTGCGAACTTCATATACGAGAATTCTAAACGGGCGGGCAGTGAAGGCTCATTTAGTAGACAGCGAGGCTATTAATCTACGCTCATTGATGAGACGGCGACATAGAAAAAGCTAGCAAAAGGGCAGGCCCAGAGTCGGATTCGGCCAAATAAACAGAATGGCAAGCTTCATTACCATTTGAAAAATCCCATCGGTTCGAAACTAAATCCTAAACTTCGGAGTGGCAAGTAGCAGAAAGAGAAAGTCCAACTTAGGCCTCAGGCTTGAGAAGGGTCATCGTTCCCGCAGATCCAGGATTTAAACTTTATGAATTCAGCTTATAAAGTTTTTAGCAATATAATTTCATATATATTATATTTGTTATAATTTAATAAATTTTTGTATATAAATTTGTATTACGCGTCGAACGTACTTGGTTCAAATGAATCCGATAACAAAGGGATGGATCCGCCCTTATCGACAACTTTCTTGAAGGTGGACAATCTCTTACTAGAACATGAAAATAAGTGAAAATTTAAAATGTGGAATTGAAAGATTTGTAGATTCTTTTTTATTGGGTTGTATAATTGTTGGTGCAATGTTTTCTTATTGTTGTTCTATTTTAGCTTTAGGATTGAGTTTGAGCTCTCTTTTTCTTTAGTTTACTTCTAGCCACGCGAATGTTAGTTTTATTCTTTTCACTTTGCCACGCTCATTATTCTTTTATCGTCTGATGTTATTAAAGAATTTTATGACTACTACTTATTTATAATTCTTACCTCCATAAATACCGTCTAATTTTCTGTAATCAAATAACATAAATGAAGAAAAAGAAAATACGTATTATGATACTAAAAGGAAAAATCTACACACATGTACACAAAAAAGAATTGACAATTTGGGGGTTTGGGTGAATATAATTGCATTCGTAAAATTAGTAAACCACTGGTTAATAGTTAGATAGGCATTAGAGAATGTCCACATGAATTTATGAAATTTTCGAGATAATCTCTTTGTGAATATTTCATGAGTATACAATATTTTTGAGATAGAGCAACATATAAGCTATTTATCTCTCATTCAATTTCATAGCCTCAAATATGAATTTCTATAATTCAACTGATCTGGATTCGCGTCAATTCAAACATAAAAGCTATTCAAGCTCATACAGTTATGCACCGCAAATTCGCATTCGATACACAGAGGACAAAGAAAGAAAGGAAGAGAGTTGGAGAAAGCCCAATAGATTTATTTGGGACCACCTCTCACCAGCCCAAGAGAAAATCACATTGTTAGCCCATTCTTACATCTACTTAGATGATGTTGAAGAATTAACTCAAATAACCGCTTACCTAATCTCCTAAACTAAAAATAGTCTATGGATGTTAATATAGATAATCAATATATAATCTATTTATAGCGACTAAAAAAAATAAATATTGAATCTGACCGACTATTTATGTAACAATCTCGATCATGTTCAGTCATTGTTACGTCTACTTTGATACCCTCTGCCCTCTCAAAGGACCACGTCCGCTGGCCTATTTAATTTTGATAAATGTCTCCTCTTTTTGTCTCACTCTTTCTCCAGGCCCCGGCCAAAAGAGAAAGAGACCAGTCCTTGACTCCCTTGTAAATAATTTCCCGCTATTCATCCTTTCATTTTCATTTTTCTTTTTTAGGCGTAACAGAAACTGAGAAAAGATAAGATCAAGTACAAAGAGAATGTGAAGAAAAAAAAAAGATGAAAGCAAGATCCAGTTTCTCTTTCTCTCAATAATTTAGGCTCATCAAGCACAAATATTTGCTCCAGTTAAATGGAACAACATTAATAATGTAAACTCATATTAATAGTAAACTGCTAACTTGTTTGGAATTAAAACGCAATAGTTATTGTTATTAGTTTAGCATGAACAAGATCAGATAAAATGGACCAACATGAAATTTGAGAAATCATATAATCAATCTAAATTTTTCGGAATTGAGACGTGGCTATTATTTTTATTTTATTTTTTGGTAATTTTTTTTTAAAATACCAATCGAAACTATATGTACATAAGGAAAAAAAAACTGACTGTTGGACATGATGCCCCAACATCAGGATCTACAAAAGCCAACCATATCATCTCACAACTATACCATGGCTAACTACTACATCCACAAAAGTTAAGTATAGAAATTTAACTGATCAAGTTTCCTAGCTAATCTGGCCTGCATTGTTCCTCTACAACATATCTCTTGGATAATTTATTTCATAATATGCTTTGAATCCGATTGCTTACTTTGAAATACCTTTTGGTTTCTTTCTTTCCACATGTAATACACACTCGCTGCAAGTGAGACGGGATTATTATTAGTGTTATAAAATATAAACATAAATATCAACTTTAATAGAATCCAACGTTCATAATCTGAGTTGTCTAAATTAAAGGCCATGTGATCCCATCAAATGTTCTAGTCAAACATCTCAATTTAATTGCATAATATCTGTATGATTAATAACAATATAGTTTATAGACCTATTAAACCTCCACAACTGAAGAATAAAAACAACTAATCATCACTTAATCACAACCCAATTAAAAAAGGGACTTTTTCCTATATATATAAGATTTTAAAATTATTTACCCGGTTTTGTCTAAGTTTTTATATTTACGGGAAGTAACAAAAGTTTTTTATAAAATATATACAAATTCGGTCAAAATCTATAATTATCTACAACATAAATACACATTTTTTGTACAGAATTCGGTCACAAACTAAAATTTACATACAATTTATATACAACTTATATACAATTATGTAAGTTGTAGATATTTTGTATTCCGTTTCTACATTTGACATATAAAATATATACGATTTGTTCATGTTTTCTTTTTCGAGTTTCAATCTGAAATTTCCACCAAAACCACCTCGAATCTTCACCAAATTATCTCAAATTTGAGATATAAACTCCAAAGGATATTCCCAAACATTTGCAACAACACTCAATCCAAACAAAAAATAATTTCATGAAATTTCATTTTTGAATTAAAAGCTTTGAAACTTTTTAATGGCTGTCAATGGAGTTTTTAATGGATTAACGTAGTTTTCAATTCAATCTACTCGCTTCTAATTAATACTATTTTGTTTATTGATTCCAAAAAGCTAAAAGAATGATAACTAAAATGGTTCTCTTCATTAGAGCTAATTTTTTTCTTATTTACTTTCTCGCTTTCATAGGATCTGAAGCAAGAACTTTGCTAGGTACTAATCTTCTCTCTTTTTTTCACTTAACAATAGTATCATTTCTTCAGTTAATCCACATGAAGATATTAATATAAGAATACTGATAGAGAATGAGACAGAGAGAGCGAAAAGGGAATTTCCTATTCAATTCCTAATATAATGAGATACTCATTAATACTAATTTGTATATAATTAGTAAATTGTATACCAACTTGTAATTAACTTAAAACCTAAACAATGAGGGTAAATAAGTTTATAATGTAGCACATGTAGGTAAAAATCTTTGCCACAGCCCATAGTACAACGTATTAAAATGACTAGTTTACCCTTGAACATGTCACGTGCTATTTCTGAGCTGGACCATTTTATACAAGACTATGCAATTGGAGTGTAACGATACACCGTTTTCCTCTATATAAATAGCCCACTTTGTTCCCCCACCATCCATTTAACATTTTAATCTCTTTAAATCCTCACTCACTCACAACTCACAAGTCAAAAAAAAAAAACTTCAAATTCACATTCAGAAAACATACAATCCATTTTGTCTACTCTTATGGATATCGGAGCTTGGTGCGATTCCGACGCCGGTAACATCTGCTGGCGGCGGAGCTACTCGGGCAGAGACTATGATCCGTTCGTCACCTATAAGTTTCCGGTGAGCAGATCGAGCAGAGGGCCTATTTGGAGATTGCTATGGAAGAAGATCAGGAAAGACAAAAAGCGAGTTTTCGATTGCTCTAATTCAATGCGGTTTACTTACGATCCGCATTCTTAT